CCGGGGGAGGTGCCCCAGTCCCCTGTGCTGGTCCCCACCTGCCGCTCTGGGCAGCCTGGGGTCGCCCACCCTCCCAGCCCGAGCGTGGAACGCAAGTGGGGAGGAGACGCACACACACCTGCAGCCCCCAGGCAGACACACGCAGCGCGCACACACACACACGTGCAGAGGTCCGGGGCAGAGTGCAGAGGGTGCTCTGGCCACCCGGCCGCGTGGAGAAGGGGAACGGAGGCCAAGCGGGCAGGAGGGACCCAGGTGTGTCCTGGCCTTGGGCCACATGGAGCCGCCTGAGCAGGGAGGGCCGCCCCACACCTGCAGCTCAGGACGGAGATCAGGCAAACAGCAGAACCTCCAGGTAGAACAGGACTTCGAGAGTCAGCCATCCTGGCTCTCTCCAAGCCGCCCCTGCTCTCCTCACAGCCTCCTGTGACAGGGAGCTCACTGCCTCAGCGACCCCCGAGTCAGCGGCCCTTTCCTGCTGGTTTGCTTCTGCCCTTTCAAGCCCACAGTCCTTGCTTCTCAGACAGGCTTCCCAGCTCTCCAGCTCTTCCTCCAGAAACTGAGCCTCTGGCTGGCTTCCACCTTCCTCTCTAAAGATGTGCGGCAGCTATAACCTGATTTTCACACTGACCTAGCCAGCCCACAGTGAGCAGGCCCATCACCCCCTCAGCTTTAGGCACTCTGCCTCTGTTAATGTGCCCAAAGAGCCAATGAGTGGTTTGGGCCACGTGACCTTGGAAACTTACCCTGCCCTTCTGTAATGAGTCTCCTAGGCTCAGCACCCATGTGACAGCTGTGCTACACCTCCTTTGGTGTGTAGGTAAGAGAGGAGGGAAGGACATGGCTTGTTTCCATTTCCTTGATTCTATCAGCCTGTGGTGTTTCTCTGCACACCAGCTCTGTGACCACTGGTTCTCCCTCCCAAGTACTTCTGCTGGTGAGGAGCTGGCACCTGTGTCTCCCCTGAGGTTTGGGGCCCTGGGAGCCTCTCGCTGTGTGGTGCTGCTTGGCCTTAGCCGGTGCACTCCCATGCATCTCTGCCTCCCTGGCCCACAAGGGCTGCAGACACTCTGTCCATCCCAACCTGGCTCCTCCATTGTCCCCTGCCAAAAGGAGAAGTGAGAGCAGCTGGCAGCCTTTCCCAGTGACCCCGCACTGGCCCCTGCTAATCACTGTGCCCCGTGTGGGTGCTGGTGCCCTCCCCGCCTTTGACTCCCAAGTCCAGCCCCGGGCAACGGCCCTGAGTCTGCTGAGCCCAGCCTCTGAGCACTTGAGCGAGATGAGGGTCATCCACTTGCCGCCAGCCCCCACGCTCACACCCACCCTGCTCGCCACCAGAGTAGTCAGGGGGAGGATGTGGCCCAGCAGCCAGCCAGGCCCTGCTGTGCTCTTCTTGTCACACAGAGAACGTGGCCAAGGCTTCCGCCAACACCCTCGGTCCTCCTGGACCGGCCCTGAGACCAAGGCAGTGGTGAGTGGTGCCAGGGACACATGGGACAGCCCCAGGGCAGACACCCCAGCCCCGGGAGGCCTGGTCCTTTAGGTCCCACCCTCACAGCACCACTGGAAACCTGAGCTAGGAGCCTGAGCTGAGACCAGGCCACCACGCCAGCCCCTCCTCACCAGTGCCTGGCCTGGGCCTCCCTGCCCTTCGGGATCCGACAGATCCCCAAGGGCAGCCCTGGGCTCTGCCGCCTCCATGCAGGGTCCCCAGCCAGGAGCCGGTACTGGGACACCCACGCCATGACCCCCAGGTTGTCAGAGCCGCGAGGCCCTCTGAGTTGCCCCGTTAGCTGTGGCTCGGAGTCCCAGGCCTGGCCAGGAGGGACACAGCCCAGCAAGACCATGCCACTCTCCTGGGAGAGGCTGAGCTCCATCCCATTGCTGCCTCGATGTTGTTAGGGACCCGTTTCTCAGGTGCAGAGCCCAAGGCTCAGGGAAGGGAGGCTCTGTGGGGTTTGGGGTGAGCCTGGAGGAAGCGCAGGAGGAGCAAGGATCACCCTGTGTCTGCCCTGACGGGGCCTCTCTGCACTGTGGGGCTGAGTCAGAGCCAGAGGGAAGAGGCAGAAGAGAGGTGGGCCAGGGAGTTGTGGAGAAAAGCCTAGCTCCGGCTCGCTGCTGGGGACAGCTCCGGGAGGGAGGGCAGAGGAAGGATGAGAAGCTGGGCCTAGCCCCAGCCAGGGGCCCTGCCATCCCATCCCAGGACCTCGCAGAGGCCACGGGGACAGAGGGACCCCGCGGTGTGAGGGTCTGACCAAGGGGCCACACCCGACTCTGCCTGCCGTGGGAGGAGCTCCCCGTGCACACGCGCATGCGCTCACACTCACACCCGCCACGCCGGGAGGCTCCCAGACCGCACCGGCACCCGGGCCACGTGAGCAGAAAGGACAAGCTTACACGTGGCTCTCTTCGGAAGGTGACATCGCCAACAGCGGGTGTGGGCCGGCTGTACCACTCCTCCGCTCCGCTGTACAGACTCTCACTGCCACCCGCCATCCCCACACACATTTTATTTAATAACTTGTCATTGTTAAATTATTTATTAGCGTTTACCACTGTCACCCGCCTTCCACTCTAACCTTCCGCCTCTTCCCACAAGAGCAGAAAACGGAAGCAACCACGAGCAAAGACAACGTCGGTATATTTGTAAATAAACAGACCTGTACACACCCGCGCTGCCTCTCCTTGGGGGCGGGGCTGAGCCTGTCCCGCCAGGGAATGCGGGTCAGGAGGGGGGTGGGCTTGGGGTCCCCTCGTCCCATCTCCTCCCAGCCCCGAATATCTCCAGCCTGAAGAGCAGGATGTTCACCCCGTCTTCATTCGATCCCCCCGTTCCCCAGCACTCATTCATGCTTTCTGCATTCAACCAGGGTTGGTGAGCGGTCCCTGAGGTGCCACTAGCCTGCGTTGGGTCCCTGAGAATCGGGGATCAGTGGGCCAGCCCCAAGGACAGTAGTACCCCGTGAGCTCCGGGGAGGGACCGGGACGCCTTGTTACAAGGCTCGGCCGCACCTGAAGGCCGCAGCACCACGAACGCTTCCTGGAAAGGGTTGGGTTTGAGGCTGCCGTCTGAAGTTACGTGGTATCACGGGGGCAGGTGTGGGGGATCTCTGGGGGTGTCCTGGGCTACTAGCAACCTCAGCCAAGGGGTCATCTTTTGAGTCTCCGACACGGACAGGGTAGTTAAGTTTGGGGCCCAGGCTATCCGGGTTTTGCCAGGGCATAGAGACGGATCCCATCCGCTCAGGCCGGCTGGCTGGAGGCAGGGAGGCCAACTGGGCTGCCAGAGTGCGAGGTGACCACAGCTCTGACTGAGGTGCTGGAGCCTCCCCGGGGTGTGACACAGGAGGACAAGGCTGAGCTGAGCCCCCAGCGATCACGAAGCCTCTGCCCAGAACATGGCTGTGGAATCCAGGGGAGCTGGGGAAGGGGTGGAGAATTTGCTTCTCAGAGTGGGCTCCTCCAAGACCCTTCAGGACTCTCTGTATGTACACGTGAGTGTGCTGCGTGTCAGTGTGTCCTCAGGGCCACCCGTCCACGCGCCTGGTGTCCCATGTTCTCTCCCCATTCTCTCTGCTGCCCCTTTGCAGCCTCCCCCACTCCACTGTGAGCACCAGCGCCCCCTAGGGGCAGATTTGGACCTGCAACCTCTTGGGGGCTACTGGTACCCAGCAACCCCAAGAGGCAGGAGCCCGTGTTTCCAAAGGGAAAGCGAGGTTCGCAGGAGGAAGTGACCAGCTCGTTATGACAAAGCCAACGAAGGTAGCAGAGCCACGATTGGAAGCCAGGTTTCGCCACCATCCTGGGCTGTCCCCCCAAGCCCACACTGCTGGCCCTGCGGTTCCGCAAGATGAGGCCCAGGGACCCAGGGAAAGGAAACTCTCTCGCCTTCAGATGCTGCCTCGTACAGGTTCAGAGAAGCCACATCGCTCAGCCCAGACGCCACAGCACCAGGGCAAGACTAACTGGGTCTTGGCATCCCAGGCCCAGGCCTGGGCTTCTGAAGGGGGCGCCCACTCCACCCCTTCCAGCAGGGGGCTGCCTCATCTCTTGCCTGTGGCAACTGTTTAAACTCCTGTCACTTAAACATTCGAGTGGAGGGCTGGGCTAGTCCACCTCTCCCGTCACCTGCCTGTCGCCCGCCAGGTGCAGCACAGGATGGGAGGAGATACAGGCTGGGACCCTGAGACGAGAGGGTGGGGAGGAAGCCCCCCTTTCTGGGGCAGGTTTGGCTTCTGCATGTCCCCAGACTCTGCCGGCCGACCTTGACCCCAGGCACTGATGGTCACACAAATGCTTTCTGGCCTTGACCTCCAAGCCTGCAGCTGCCTGGAGAGCAGGAGTAGCCCCGCGCTGGCTCACCTCAGGACCCCGCCCGCCTGGCAGAACGTGAGGAGCTCCAAGAGCACTGTAAAGGACTCAGCTCAGGAAGGGCTACGAGCGAGGCCTGGGAAATCAGAGAAAGCCCCCCTGGAGGAGGAAGCCTGGGGGCTGAGCGTCCAAAGACCGGCCAGGGCAGTGAGCTGCCACCTTAAGGTCACCCAGCTGAGCAATATAAGAAAGGGCAGGTGCAGGAGGCTGGAGCCGGGTCACACGCAGGCTGGGTTTGGGTCTGAAGGTCAGAAATGCAGAAGGTGACCTCCTGCCGGGGGCCACGTGGGGCAAGC